CACAGACCTCTCACAGCTTGGCACTTTGCTTAGAGCCTTTATTATGCCAATATACAGAGACTTAGACGCGTCAACGTTTATGCCGAACGTATCCTAAATATTTAAGCTTCTAAAGAACAGGCTTTGGAGTGCTCATACTCAATACCTGACATGAGGAGTTGATCCTTTTTTTTTTGCACAATTGTTTGTGAGCCAACAAGTGTGTGTGAGGATTCACCATCCCAAATCCACTATCCAGATCAAGACAACTATCCACTTTCAGCCACAATTTAAGAGTCAGTGTCTGCCAAAATGAATACATTGAGGCTCTTTCAGTAAGAATAATGAAGAATTTCATCTCATTTAAGGATATAAAATAGGAACTTTCTCATTTTTAATACTATTTTTAATTTAATAATGCAATCTCATAAAGTTAAACCCTTTGCAACCTGCTCAAATTAATCTCTAATAACCCATGAATAACCTATCTCACACAAATATGCACAAACACAGAAATTAAGATGTGGGAGACTTCATTTTAAGAGGTGAAACTGAATATTCTGAGGGCACACACACATATCCACAAAAGGAGCACACAAGCTGCTCTGGTTTTTGTCCATTCACAGTGGTCTTGATGGGTCAGATTGTGTTTGTGTACCTGATGAGAAAGTGCTATGACCAAACTGCACGTGAGGGTCAAAATGCATTAAAACAACGAATTATGACTGAGTGCAGAGACTTATGCAGTATATAAGATGCATGGCTGAAGTTGGGCACTGATCATTTTACACTCAGTTTGACCTTGTGGATCAAGAATGGCCCCATGTTCATCATAAACATGATGAAACAGGCACAAACACATACTCTTTACTCAAACACAAAGTTTCTATTACTGAGACATAATTTTGATGTTTATCCAATTTGTTTATCAACTGAAAGGCACTTTCCTCCTTATATGCCTACCAAATTTGTCTCAAATGTAGTCTGTCTGCTGTTTAATTGTATAAAAAGAAACCAACATTGCCAACCAAGAGGGTTTACAAAAGGAACAAGACGGCAAGAATGGGGTGCACTGCACAGTTTTGCAGACGTTTTTGGCCGATGATGAATATACCATCTGGCAAAGATGTCATCTGCATCTGTTGCCAACATCTGGACTCTCCCTCTCTCTTTCACGCAACTAATCCATCATTCTTTCTATCTATCTATCATATGTGAAATTAACAGTAGTTATGAAAGTATGTGAATGAAAGTAGTACACATTGTTCATTAGTAGCCTATTATTTAGTACTCATGGACTTATACTGTACCACTGTAAAGAGTGTAAAAGGACAGGTAAACTGTGCTCTTCTGTTTGTTTGGGTGAGTTACTACTCACCCGTCCCACACGCTCCCCGCTGTATGAAGAGCACCGGCGGCTGCTGCAGACTCTGCGCTCGGTTACTGACCCGCTTCAGGTCGCATATGTTCCGATAGGAGACCCCGTCACTGCCACACACCGGGTCGCTGCTTTTACACACACAACGACCGTGTTTCCCTCTTCTCCTGACGGTAGCGGAGTAGCCCACTCCTCCGGTCACGGAACACTCCAAACCCTCTCCACACACCGGGTCCCCCAGCTTACCCACCCCGCCGCACGCCTCTCCCTCTCCGGATGCGCACACCAGGCAGCAGTTACAGTGATCCATCACCTGTCCTGTCGGACAGTCCTTTGGCATCGACGGACACATGGACTTATCACACTGACTTGGACATCCACCGATCACATAGCGCTTAGTGAGGCGCGCATCAGCTTGCAGCGATGTTACCAAGACGCAGAGGCAGAACAAAGTTACCCAAATCATATTGATTAAAGTTTAATAAACAAGTTAAGAAAATTGAGAATTACGCGGTATCTAATTTCTAACTAGACAAACTGAGCCGCTGAATAAAACGGGAATAATCTTCGGACCGAGCTGTGTAAATGTGGTGCGCCGCAGGAGCGAGCACAATGCGCGTCTCTTGAGTTTCTGCTGGCGCAACGTTTATAAAAGCGCCCCGGATTCCACGCGCACACTTCACCACAATGACAACAGGCGCTGCGATTGGCCTGGATGTGGGAAAACTCTCGAAGATTGATGTGCAATCAGAGCAAAGCGGTCTCTGATGAAAATCCAGTTCCTGAAATTGTGGCGAAAACCTACCTCTGCATGAAAACATATTGCTAGTACCATGGTAACAGTTTTCGAAATAAAACGAAAAACGAAATAAAATAAGTAAAAATAAAATGATTGATAGATAGATAGATAGATACATGAAAGATCTCATGTCTCATAGAAAGAACTATTAAATTGACAGAACTATTAAAGGATGTTTCTGTAATTTTGTAAAGGTATAGTTCACACAAAAATGAAAATTTGCTTAAAATGTACACCCTGCAGGCCATTCAAAATGTGGATGATGTTTTGGAAAAATGTAACATCATTTGATCACCAATGGATCCTCTGCAGTGAATGGATGCCATCAGAATGAGAGTCCAAACAGCTGATAAAAACATCACAATAATTCATAAGTATGCACGACTCCATTCCATCAATTAACGTAATGTGAAGTGAATAGCTGCCAGTTTGTTAAAAACAAATCCATCAAGACGTTTTTTTTTCAACTTTGGTGTTTGATCTGTGCATATTTCTCTCCTGATTCAGACAAGACGCCTTTTTCCCTGAAAAAAAAAGCCTTATGGTTATGTTTATTACAAACACAAAAAATTTTGGTTGAACTATTTTAACCATAGTTTCAACAATGTGATGTTTTATGAAGCAATAACATACATGGAGACCAGAGTACAGAAAACCAGAGAACATCAGTATCTGTAAATATTATTATTATAACTGTAATATTAATATTATGTGGTTATCTAGAGTTGCTTACCATATTTCCAGTTCTCACCAGCTGCTACAGATGGAATGAAGAGGAAGGATTTTTAGGAAAAGAATGTGGAGTAAAAGAACGCAGCAAACATATGTTTAATGAAGTTCCAGAAATATATTTTTTAACTTTCTATAAATGCAATCTCCCTTAATATTAATATTATGTGGTTATCTAGAGTTGCTTACCATATTTCCAGTTCTCACCAGCTGCTACAGATGGAATGAAGAGGAAGGATTTTTAGGAAAAGAATGTGGAGTAAAAGAACGCAGCAAACATGTTTAATGAAGTTCCAGAAATATATTTTTTAACTTTCTATAAATGCAATCTCCCAAAAACCTTTTAAGCTTTTACTCAAGACTAGAATTCTAACGACTTAATTCTAATGACTCAGGTGCCAGTAGTTAAATGTGTAAAAAACCCACAGGAAGACAAATAAACTAATTCGTATCTACCACAAACACACAGCAAGAATGTGTATCCGGGCCTCTTTCTATGCGTTTCCATTGTTGTTATGGAAAACGATCACATTTATGAATCTAATGGTAAACAGACCCCATCTTCCAAATAGCAAATTAATTGAACCTTGCAGCAAAAACCTTGCAGTAAACAGAGTCATTTACTTGTGGCAGGCTGAGCTTCAGCTACCTGCTATAATTTACAGGCGCTTGAATTAAGCCTAATAAACATTTTTGTGGTAACGCATGGAGTGCAGCGTTTACGAATGAGAGTGAGTCCAGGAATTTTACAGGCCTATAATACGTCTCGCAGAGCTTGTTCGCACATAAACTAAATGTCTGAGATTCTAGTGGTAGGTCTATATTTATGATGCTGCATGCCAAAAAATTAATAAAAAAATTAGTCTAAATACTGACTTTAAAGGGGTCATATGATGCGATTTAAATTTTTCCTTTCTCTTTGGAGTGTTACAAGCTCTTGGTGCATAAAGATCTGTAAAGTTGCAAAGACTAAAGTCTCAAATCCAAAGAGATATTCTTTATAAAAGTTAAGAGTCAACGACGCCTACCTAAAACGGCTCGTTCTATCACAACCCCACATATCTACGTCACGATGTGGGAAGATTTGCATAACACGACCAAATGTTCACGCAAAGAAAGGCGGCATAATTTTTATTCTCGCTGTAGTGCCGCCGCCATGTCGTGAAGACGCTGTGTGTTTCGTTGTGAAAGCGAAACTACTTTGTTTGGCCTTCCAAAAGAGGACGATATCTGCTTCGTCATGCCTGGAGCTGATCCGTGCTGGTCGCTGATGAAATACAACTTCGCACTGTGGATCGCCAGATCGGCTTTCACCGTGGACGAAGCGGAGTCCAGC